CTGAACGCTGCAGAGCAACGGGAGTTGGCAAGATAAATCAACCAATCTCTTCATACATTTTTATACGAAAGTAGTCTCCAAAACAATGAAAAAGTATAAAAATTGTACTCAATGCTGAAAACAACAACTCTGCAAACAGTTTCGACGTCAGGTTCTAGTCTCATGGAGATGACTTCTTGAAGTATTCCACTCGTGCGTGTATTTGGGGCCTACATGGGCCGAAATGATCCTCTGAATGTGGTTAAGCATAGTTAATGGTTGCAATAAATACACTCCTTACGTTCTCTTGAACCTACCCCAGGTTTAAGTGGTTCTTTCTTGAATATCTCCACATAGTTCTCCACGTAAGTCGGGCAGCCACGGGGATCATGTGACGTGATATTAGACACTTGGTCCGATGGCGACGGCTCCCAAAACCGCAGTTGACCTTCATGCTCGACTATCTGTTTATTGAGCTGAATCTCATCTAGAAGCCAGGATCCCAATTCAGGATCAAAGATCTCGTCGAAAAAGGCCCGAAGCTTACTGCTCTTCTTCAACAATTTCAACTTTCTCACCGTTCTTGGATCAATGAAGCCCTAAAAGATTGATTTCATGATGACATTGCCCAGGAGTATTGGTAAAAAATCATCATATAAAGAAATTAAATAGGAATAGATGATATTAACCTTGAGTAAAGGCAATAGTAGGCGGACTGCATGACAATTCTTGATATATAATTTTGTGAATGCAGTCGCAGAATGCCTTCAAAATTACAAACATCTATCAAAAAAGCAGATCTTCTCCATGTCGGATAGGCCTTAACAGAAGCCGACGGTAAACGTTGCTTCTTAAGACACTCCAATCAAAAGTGAATCTATCCAGGACTAGGAGTACTTTTAGCAAATTCATATTAGTTGTTTTTGACAAGCAAACACTTAGGGTCAGGCAGCATGAAGTGCAAAATTACTGAGTGGCATAGGCTGCACACAGGTTTTGTAAGTGGAATCAAGAACAAAGGTAAAGGCGACTTGCACAATGAAGCACAAAACAGGCTGAAATTTGCCTACCCATGTTCCTTACGCCTACCTTAAACTTTCACACATTACACATCGGAGGAACACATACGTGTGAAGAGGCTATGGGTTTAACATTAAAACATTAAATCGGATAAATAAGCCTCGTAATACTGTCTCGTGTTGTTATTGTTTTCACTTTTTGTATTTAACTCTTGCACGACCATGTTTCGGGTCTTTACTGATGAGATTAGGAAAGATGCGCTACCTAGAGATTGAGCAGGTTATTTCGCGAAAGCACTATTTGACTATTCACTAATTTCAGACATACTTACATTTAATCTCGCATTTTACCATATGTATAGTGCTGCACATTTATTAAAATTACTACGACTACTTGATAATATAAGTAATATATAAATAAACGAAGAGTATTTAGCATTTGGCAAAAGTGTGCTCTAGAATTGCCAGATTGCCTCACAATTAGAATTCCAGAGTAAATCGAGACCTTCGGTTGCCAAAAACTCGAGGCTGTTCAAGAAAATCGTGTGAATTAGATTCAGAATGTTGTATTCATATTATAGCGATTACAATAATCTATTAAGTTAACTTAATTACATTAAATACCTGGCTAAGTTAAGTAATAAACAGTAATAATCAAGCAATTAATTGATAATTAATTATAAAATCTAATGTATTATTTAGTTGATTGGCTTAAATTTAATTAACCTATTCGCATTATGCGCCAAGCATTCTCTTGGTCAATTGGTGTTACAGAAATATTCAACGATAAAGATTCGATTCAAAAAACAGAATTAGTATTTTACGAA